CCTAAAAGTTAGATTGACGATGCCTAAGAAAATAATTGCGCCGCGAATCGAGTTAACACGGCCACCTTCCGACTGTTTTTCAGTGTGGAGGCATACAGTTGTTGATACCGTCAGATTTGGACGATTGGATCCAAAAAATTCTAGGTTTCCAATTAGCTCTAACCAAGAATTGAGCTGCTCTTTGTTTGGTGAGGTTGTCGCCAAACCAGGGGGAATAATCCACACTCTTCCCCACAGAATCTCGGGGTCGTCGCATCAGCGTAGACAGAAGTTGTAACGTTACACTCTGTGGCATAAGCATACTCATCCATTCTTCTTTTCCAGTACATGAAATCACTCCGTGCAGATTAGTCCATATTCGGTGAGCCGTTGTTCCATGCTTGTTGAAACACGAGAGACCCCAATAATCCTCGGTGAATTCCATCCCACAATCCGCGAAATAATGTTCCGGAAAGATTTACATATCAGCATTTGGATCATTCTTAAACAAACATGATGCGGCACCCCACGTTGTTCAATTACGCAATTCGCCCGACCCGATCAAGTATTGGCTGCTTCTACCTTATGATTTGCCAGTTTTAATGTGCATCCAAGAACTTTCTTATTTCTCTTCATGAGTTTCTTCATATTTCTGGGCAGAACGCGCAAATTTGTAATTATAATTAATTCGAAAGTTAACCGACGTGCGCGAAAGAATGGAATTCCATATATGATCAGTTTTTGTAAAACTGTTTCGTTGCTCGAAAGGGAAAGTACATAAAGAATGCTCAAAAGTTTAGATTTCCTTGGTCTAATGTTCACCAACATACCGTTTTTTAGTGTCCTTAAATTTCGCTTTGTTACGGTGCGTCTTTTGCAGGTGCATATGGCTTTTCCCAGTTCCACTTGAATACGGATAATTTCTAGCTCAGAATACTGATTTTCATAGGTATGAATAGCATAACACGGTGGAGATATTGCCATAACATTTTACACTGTTTTAGCGGCGAGAGACTAATTACATAGGGCCACACTTAGGACACAGTTTTGTCCAAAAGAACTGCACAACATCTAACTATATACTAAGATGAACAATGGATGAACACTGAAAGTATTCGGAGGCCAAATGCCTATCATGGAGAATAGTGCATCACATATGTATGATTTAGGATCTTTCCGTATACCCACTGCATGCATCGATTGCCAATTTGACTGTTTTGTATATAACATATATATAGCCATATTCTGTCGCATGCACAGATCTAATATAGGCGTCAAGCCGCCGGAGTGGGTGGGCATTTAAATTTTCTGGGTTTCTTGATTTCTACTTCGTCCATCTTGTGTGGATCGGTGGCTTTACGTCTGTAACATGCAACTTCAAATTGCGTAGGAAAGCAACCAATGTTTATTCAAGGTAACGGAAATTTTGTAATTTTTGTGGCAGGAAAACAGGCGAAACAGCTTGAACAGATGTGGCGTTCACAATAGAAGCACTGATATGGTGATTATTCTTGCGTGAATAGACAGACGTTCATTAAGCACAAAGGATAATTGTCGTCCTCTGGGGATATCACGCACACATGACAGTCATTTGCTCTGCGATTTCACCACCTAATCATACAGCGTGTGACGTTGTCCAATTTCTCTCGGTTTGGCTACTTCCCACAATTGGGAATAGTGTTGCCAATACCATTTGCGGAATATGTTGGGGATATTGCGCACGTAAATATCTGAAACGAGCAGGAAAATTTCGTGTTGGGGAGCACTATGTAGACTTCCGCCGCCAGGTCAATAGCACTAAGGAACGCCAGCCTAGAATTCTAGCCTGCTAATGATGAGCTTGCTTCACTTCAGCATAACAGCGAGCCATTTGGTAAAATTCGCGTGTCATGCGTATGATACTCCATCCATAGATTTTAGAGGCGGATAACCGGTTCCGAATATTAGGGTTGGGGCGGATAGATCGGTGAGAGTGAATGACATCACGGAATACGGCGGTCAGAATTTGAAATTATGGTGAACTAGTCTAACTCTCAGTAATCTTTTTCAAGTAGGTGTTAGATACAGGTCCCGAAACGGATGAGTTCAGCTGGCGCTCATGGACGTAAGTAGAGATAACAGTGAAAATAACAGATAAAAGTGCTTGGAGAGATTAGATGCTGGGTGACAGCCTTCCGATGACAACCACGGAAATACTGCTGAGAAGGTTGAGGTCCAAGAATGCCGCATCGAGGATATAGCTTGAACTTTCAAAGCCGCATCAGTACCGGTCTACATACGGCGCTCCATCCAGTGACTCTGTTACTTCGCTAACGAAATTTGCGGAATTAGTTATTGATGATGGTGCAAATAATGTTGAGAGCATTCAACAACAGTGGGAACCCAGTAGGCAAATTTTGGATAACAAAGCTCTTCAACATCAGGTACAACAAAAATCTACATCCATAAATTTGTGGAAACGATGATAGCACGCTCAACACCGTAAGCTGATGAACGCCAATCTCAGTGCTAAAGTCGCCTCAATAATTGATTTTCGTGCTCATATTGTGTATGTCATGCCAGCATGCATTAGGCTTACGCTGAAATTGGGCTGCACTTAATGCGACTTTTTTCCTTGTCCAGCAATTCGAAAGACGGCCAAATACGGATGGCCACGAGGCCTATTTTCTTGTCGTATCTTTGAGGAATCACGCAAACACTGGTCGTTGCTTCGTGATAATGGGGAAACTATTTGCAGGTGACTAGTCACGGGTAATTTAAGCAACTTCAAGATTCTTCGCACGTCCGGCAGTTCCATCATCTGTGTTCAGAATGACTATATTGGTTACTCGTGTTTAAAGTCTTACTGTTGGCTGCACACTTGATCTGAACGCAGCTTCAAATATAAGGTGAGCCCGCAAGAAAGCTTCTAATTAGCCTGCTCACATTAGCCATGCTAACACGGGCTTCAGACTCAGACGCGGTATGCTTGATTTGGAAGCGGTTGGAAACATGTAAAACGCCCTTCCCGAGGAACTTCCGCATAAGAACTACCGCGAGCACTAATGGGAATGAAGGGGTGATTTCCTTTTGAGTGCAGACAAGTGTTTTTTCAAACATGCATTTGTAAAATTAAGTCTCATGAGCTTGACAACGTAATGCCTTGATTAAGCTACAATCTCAAAAAAAGCGAAGCCACATAAGAGGCATTCTTCGATTTAGTTAATAAGGTGGTCTTAGCGAACAATTTTTTAGCATTTGAATAAGAAAAGAGGGAATTCCACGCTGATGCCTTAGAAGTTAGAGGTTCACCATAGACTTCTGATTTTATACAATACACGAGGTACACCAGTTGGTGCCAACTTGCACAGGGGTTCGTACTGCTTAAGGATGACATCCGCTGCCGACATAAAAACATGATGCAGGCGGATGAACATTGGATGCCGTCTTGAGAACGAATGTTTCGCCGAATCGCGCCAATTTGGGCTACATAAACTTGGCAACTGCCAGTTGCGATAGTTGAACACTGGGGCCAAGATTGAATGACGAGGCATCGGAAGGGTATTCCCTTAGGAGGCGTTTGCACGTTAACCTCATTTGTTGGCTGATGGATCTTAAATTGTTGTAAATGTTTATTCAGCTCCTACGCAGTGGCTTAGTAAGTCGACCCGGAATTTTGTCCTCGCAAAAGTAAGCCGGTGCACATTGGTTGTATTTTGACGTGCTTCCCGGAAACGGGGCAGCGGACCGTGAAAATCCACATACTGTGGTTCGAAGGAACACTGAAGTAAACTGAGGATATTTTGGGTTAAAACTTGGCTCCCCTAAATTTGATGTGTTTTGCGCAATTACATGATTAATCCGCGTGCAGTTTTTTTCAGAATATATCGTTGTTTGGTCTCATTTTCTCCTAAAAATACACGGCAATTTAGAGAATTGCCAGCATTGAGAGTTTCACAGTTCGTCTAGATATTGGACCGTAATTTTTGTTTCATTGAGACAGTGACAGCTAGGCATATTTCAGCCATTTAAAGGTACTTGCTTCTATTTACTGGTGACCAGAGTGGGGGAAATTAAGGCACCCTCCTGTGCTGCTGTTTGGCACACTGCTTTAGACTAGTTTGGTGGTATGTTACATGCCACCCCGAAACGTTCCTTCCAACTGCTATTTCTGGGCTCTAAAATTAGACTAGCCGTCCTGCCCGGCGATCGCGTCACTTCCGTTTTGCGTGTATTCCTAAACAATAAATCATCCCGGCTGTTTTTTCTAGCACCCTTGAGCTGAGAAGACCATACACCGCACAATTACTCAAAGGTTGTAAGTGAAAAGCTGAGGTGATTTGCCGAAGGTACCTGACAAAAACAGAAAGGTTTTGCCGACATTTAGAAAACGAACCCTCTGATATGTGATCCGGCTAGATAATTTGCAAAGATTTATTGAAACCGTTGGACTTGTGATCTGGTTTTTGCCGGTTGAATGAAAACCCGGAGATTTCGGACAAATTCGGGAATTTGTTCGAAGTATGCCGCGATTCTGAAGCAAAATGTGTGTGTACTGGCAGACAAAGAATAACTCACCGTCCGCCCTCGCCGAAACGCGGTCTTTGAAGCACAGTGTTGCAACTCAAATTAATTGGCACGCACAGGGTCCCCCTGTGGAAAGAACTGTGCAGACAGATGTGGAGGGAGGTTTTTGTACCATGTTCAATTGTGAGTCGACGGGCGACTTCATGCTGGCTATCGACGAAAGGGTCAGACATTACTGAATCTCACCACTCAGTGATGCATACGAAGTTGGCACCTGAGAATAACCTGCCTGGTGAGGTTCCACTGTGATCAAGCGATTCTTTGCATTTGCGGCGGTACGCATACGCCCATAGTTGGGGGCTTACGTAAACGTTATAGGGTGGTGATTGATCAACGGGAAGTGAAAATATCCATACTGTGTTTCCCATTAGTGTGCCAAAATATTAAAAATTGCTCCTTGTTTGGTGGTTTTGAATGGGTGTTTTTGTTAGGACACTATTGTTCATTTCACTTACTATGTGAGAATCCTATTTTCGCCTCTGCAAATCCAGAATTGTTCTGGAAACTACTAATGACAATTATCAATTACGATAGCCTACGAGACATGGATGCACAAAAACGCTGTTGTAACTTTCGAATATACCTGTGGTAAGTTGAGATCTAAGCAAATTCAGTTAAATGAGCTGACTTGTGCCAAGAAGCCTGCGAGCCCCGTAAATCTATTTCTTCCTGGTCAGCACAAGGCATCTTATGAAACCCAAGGGAATCACAAACTCACAAGCACCCGCCCAGATTTGATCCCCTCAGCTTCTGGTTGCCTGTGACTGATACTCACTGTGGTGTATTCTCCATTAGAGCGTGTCTTATAATAACTGTTCATGGAGCTTATAAAGATTAATAAGTTTCACGCATTGCAATGTAGAAGAAATTTCCTATAAGGTTTGATAACAACAGCGGGAATATTGACATGTTATGCTTGAGTACTATTAGGAGACAAGTCCTGCACACGACGGATGTGGACGAAGTTAACGATGCACTCTCGTAGGTGCTTTAGATATTGTCGTGTTGAAGAATGTTTGTTATTGCTATGGTTTGCACTTCGGCATGTCGGTGGAAATGTACTATCCTGCGGTTGTGTCAGTTGAATACAAGTGGAGAACACTTGGGATGTTTCTACAATTCATTACCACTTACAATGATAAACCGGCGGTCCATGTTTCCATTTTGATCAAATTTAAATGACAACTGATTTACCGCGCAAGAAACACATGAAAGTCCTGAAGCCTGAGCTCCACATTATTCGCGGATGCGGCGATCTCAGGGTGTAAATATGGGCCGCAGATATTGGGGTTGTGTCCGCTCTTTAAAATGGTCTACCGACTTAACAACAGAAATAAACATAACGAGGTACTTCGTCTTTACAGTTTGAGAGCTCTTTTGTTCCGGCTTTCGGTACTATTAGCCTCGACCGAAGAACAAGGTGATAATGGAGATGAAAAATCTTGCGAGAGGTGATCCGGTGTAGCAGTAAACTAATAAGTCGAACAACCTATGTTCAAGTAAGAGAAGGTCTGAACGTGAGAGGTAAGTGACCAATAGACAGAAACGCCTAGCAGATTACTCACACAGTGCTTACTTTCGAAATTAAGTGATACACCAGCTTCGCATAGCATTTTTCCCATAAGGCCTTTATCCGACACAATAGGAGAAATAGGACATACACGCCTATATCGCACCCAAGGTTGTTGCTGTGATTCATCAGCCGTCATCAAAGCAAATCATCAGGTTTGCCTCGCATGGTAGATGCTGCGGTTCAAACCTTAATAATTGGAGGAATCTAGGCCGGTGCCCACTGTGAGCCAGGAAAAATGGACCGTAGGAATATCAAAACGAACTCTACAAATCCTGCCGCTATTTACAACAAAATGTTGTCTGAGCTGCTCTAGATCTGAAAATTCACTAATGTCGGGATTTTCAAGGTAATAGGCGTTTAAATATGTTTGCGAAATTCTGCATTGTTTGGCATGATAAGCGAAAAAGGCGCCAAAGGTACGGCAAGGTTATTGACAGCAAAATGCGCCTGTCCATCCAGGTACGTTCGAGCAGTGATTTGCAGCCTGAGAAGACCTGCATGTCACTAGTATCATGCCAATAACAGCTGATTTCCGTAGTGAACATAGCAAAACTATCAAAATCTCATGAAAATATTTAACGAAAGTCCACTCAAATTTGTGTTGGCTGGGCATGTTAGACTAAGTCTTTGACAGCTAGAAGAACCCGATCAATAGGACTCCGTTTCTGTTGGCCAAGCTTCGGCCGCAGTACGTCGCGTTTGAAACGCTATAATCAATAAGCGAAATTCGGTAAGCCACGAAAAATGATTTAAGCGTGAAAATGATGGACTGTGTTCGACAGGTTGTGTTAAATTTTTCCAATGAATGTGTGTTTATCAACATTTCCAGTTATACTGGATATCCCGTGGATTAGATGCCGTGCTCCCGAAACTGAATTTGGCATAGGAAAGCGCGCTGACGCAGTTGTGCATTCTTTCTTCTGGCGTTGTTCGGCGGAGTATGTTGGGCGTGCGACACGGCAACTTTCTAAGAGAATACGCGAGCAACTTTCGTACCGGAATACCACTAACCTCAACAGTTCAGCCAGGAGCTCAATCGCATCCCTTTTATATTGACACCGGGAACGTAGTCATGCCAAAGGAGTCATTTCAACTCATTCACCGCGCGCCATATAGACTGCCAGTATCAATTCAACGACGTTGCTTGACGACGGTCGAGGCACTGGCTATACGCCCGCGAAACCCGGTACTCTGCTGTCAAAAACGTTTCGTACAAACGCTGAGTCTGCCTTGGTCGTGTGACACGAATCAATTGGCCAAGTCACTCATCAGCACTCTTCTTTGTCTCAGAGCATCCAACTAGATGCGACATGGGTAAGTGTGCGCAGACAGCCAATCGTTCGTGTCTCCACGTTTTGCATTTCACTAGCCAATCTTCGCAGCGTTTTTAATTTGTCACTTTTATTTTAACCATTAGATATATAGTAGCCTGATGTTGAGGTCCTGAAAACCTTATTGTTCGTCACTGTGTGATGATCCAGTTTGTCTCCTGGAGTTCCGTTGCGCACGCTATTCGTAACTGCACGTATGAGTTTCACTAATGGTGGTTTCTTTCAGACATCCAGACAAACAAGGCAGTTCTTAAACCTACGAAGTATGGGTACCGCGGTGTGTCAGCCCTCAAATTTAAATCACTGTCGGAACACCTAACTGACATTGCTATTGACAGCATGAGAAACTTGCCGTAGGAATACTGGGTGTAAGTTGGAGAGAAATTGCAGCCTTCTTCGACCGCCCGTTATATGCTGACACTTAAAAGGTAGTGACAAACACGGTTATGAATCAAGCGATATATTGCAGAGGCGCAATGCAGCCGGTCCAGGTAGCAGTTATACCGTTATCTTCTTATAATCCTGAGGCCACAAAATTGGGAATGCAACACCGCATAGTGCTTACTGTTGCACAAGTGACCATAGGCGTTTTAGTTAGACCCCTGATGTGTCATTTTGAACATTTTGATACCGTTTGCTTCTCACGGCCTTCCATCACAAGTGAAAACCTACGCATATTCGTCAATGACGAAATTCCTAGTGATAATAAATTTTCAAGCATGTCATGCTGTACGCATTGTGGTGTCATGTGAAATTGCAGAACCTTGCCGTGGTCTCGTTTGCTCGTCGCTAAAATGCCCCAAATTCCTCGATCGTCTACACGCACGCGGATAACATTTGGCGGGATGGAGTAGTGCATACTGTTTAGGACGTTAAAATGCTTCCCTAAAGACGCACCAAGTTCTGAGACTCATAAAATATATTCGGTTTATGGTTCGTTCTTAAGGAGGTGCCAGCTAGTGCTGGTCCTGATGGGTTATCAAACAGATGGCACTCCTAATGATTTACATTTATTGAGGTAATCTCCGGGGCTCATCAAGCAGCATGGCGCATTTCTCCAGTAACGCAAAGTTTCCGAGATTATCTGAATCGTCTGCTATCCAAAGATTCAATGGAATGAGAATACCGCTAGCCAGGCAGCTTTTGGATAATCAAGTGGAATTTCCAAACTGCCTCTGACATATTGTGGTAACCGACACATCTGACTACGGAGCAGAGCTCGGGAAAAGCCTTGGCATATAACGGCCGATCTTTGGCCGCTGCGACACACAGCTGCAGCCAGATCGAAAAGAAAGCGGAAGAAAGCAAAGGCGCTTCAGTTTTTTTTAAAGGCGACCGCCACAGTCCGTTGTTGGCCACCGGCTATTGTTTGCAGGATAAGTAGTCGTACCAGAGAAGCCACATAGGATATTTCTGTAACAGATTCGTATCCTGGAATTCGGCCCATCGAATCATTGATTCGTAGTTATTTTTAATAACGGTATTTTTAAAAACACGTCGAATCCATCGTCACGTTTCGTCAAAAATGTGCTTTGGCTTTAAGGTCATGGAGGCAATGTGAACTCTGCTCCTTGATGTACCACAAGATGCATTGTGTAGGTTACGTGTAGACTGTGCAGGTCTCTTGAGCGGTCAAACTCATCTTAATATTGTGGACGCACAAAGTATGTGGCCAGATTTTTTTCCATGGAGACAACGGTGACCACGGCAACATAAAGAACGTTGTAAGAAGTCTTCAGTGTTTTCGGAAAACCTCGTTTCTAGTAACGAGGTATGATTTACTGTCGCAAATCTTCAGGTTGGCGTGGCCTCTGGGCACCCGAAGTTTTATCAGCTGAACGGCTATTACTAGTGATATTACCAGTGATAATGGCATTTATCTGGTAACTGCATCAGGCACAAAATTTAGGCCGGTAAACTGTGTTGATGGATGAATAGTATTATCACACATTTGGAAATCTGGCTTTGGTTTCCACAAGATTACGATCCCACTTGTCCGTGCAACTGTATTTTGACTGCAACTGGAAGGTTAAACTGTTCTGGCAGAACATTTCTCGCAACGAAGCTCACCACAAGCAAACTGGGCTGCATTAACTTATACTCAGCTGGAGTTTCATTGGGACAAAATTAATAAGCCGAGCACCTAAGGTATACTAACTTCAGCCACTGGACTCCAGCTGAACAGTCAACACCTAGGCTCATCGTATAGGCCAAGCGGCTGCAAGTATTATTTTCTAATCAGCAAGCACCCAGCCTATAATTTGCTCCTCGGAAAAGTCTTCCACATGAGCCGTTCTCCCAATAAGATTCAATGAGACTGTCGGTATTCGGGCACGCGACCATCTCCTGATTCATTAATCCAAGCTACTTATTTTGTAACTTGGGATAAACCACGAAATGTTTCGTATATTTTGCGGACAGAGAAGTGAAAAATCACCAATGGCTGCCCGTAAGACTCACTCAGTCAGCAGAATTGGAAATGTGTGTACATACCTGTTCGCAATATACATATGCAGCCCTGCAAAGACATGATTTTCTGGGCTTTCCTTCTGTCGAATTCCGCTATTAAAATTTGAGTGTTCCCACGAAGCCCT